ATTGCAGGTGGACACCTGTGTTTCTGACAGTTCTCACCTTCATTTCTCCAGTACTGATAATACTTGTATCAGCCTACTATTTGTAGAAAGCATGAATTCACTGTCAGAGCAAACTAGGAATGTTTCTAGGGTGCCTGCAAAACACAAAGATTACAATAATTATTTTCTTAAACAAGTGAAAATAGGTGTGTTCTGATTCATGCAGCTCATGCTGTGACAGTGTTTATGTCCAAATTCTGAAGGTAGGCAACAAACTGCCAACCAACATCATGAAATATCTTTAAAGGACACATCATTAAGTGCTTATTCTAACCTTCTTAAAGGAAAATGTTACGGAATGGGCAGAATCACTCCTTAATGACCCATCTGCTAGCAGGTACCGTGCTGTGAAAAATCAGTGCTGCTTTTCCAAGTAACAAACAAACCAAGCAAAGCAAGACAGGTACCTTCATACACTTCAGTTGCCTCTTTGTTCCATTTAAGGAACCCTAAGGAGTTGCAGACATCATTTACCTGGTTAAGCAGGGTTTGCAAGTATGTGTTGTCACTGACATGGTATAAAAAACTGAAATATACTGGCTGATCTAGTTTCAGTGTCTTCTGCTCAAATGTCATCATTTGCTTCTTGATGAGATTTCAGTCCAATCGTTATTAATAATTTAGGATAGTTTACAAAATTTTATGAGCATCTAATTCACATTCAAATTCACATCTGAATAGAAATTCACAATGTATTTCTATTTTTGTCTTTCATCCTTACTGGGACAATGTCAGTATATGCTTGTGCTAATTTTGTAGCGGTCAACAAGGAGGCATGTAAGGAAAAAAGAGGACTCCTGCTCTACCTAGTAGACAGGGTTCCTTCTGTAATTCGATTTCATTTATTTGCTGTATTTCTGAAGTGCAAATTAAAGGCATGCTGTTTCCCTGCTTCCTTAGAACAGCCAAAGATGCATGTATTAATTAAACAATTTAAATATATGTGTAATTTAAAGAACAGCAAGCCCCCTAATTGAGGAATTCGCAAACATGTGTACTTGTCCTCTGCAGTCTTTGAAAGAAACACAGACTGCAATGGCAGATCAGACTAGAATAACAAACCCTGAAAGATTTGGCCTAGGGTTTGCTGTTGAAATGGTTTTTAAACAGCCCTACGTCATCTCCCCATATAAAAAAATTATGTGGTTTCTGTGGTATTTCAATGTTTTTGTTTTCCAATTTGGCCTTGATGTTCTTATTTACAAAGTGAACTGACTCCTGCATCCTGGAGGTCTATCCACTGCCATTTCCCATTATCTGGTGGCACACTCATTCTCACCAGGGAAGTTCACTGACCTTTGCTATTACCTTACCTGAGCAGAGGTGTTTTTTCTGTCAGGCTTTTCACATCCCTTTCTGGCTGCCTGTCCCCCTGTGTTACAGACCAACGCACAGAGAGGGGCGTGAGTCACATATTTTATAGCCCATTCATGATGCTTGATTTGTGTCCACTGCTGTCCTCCCAACTCCTCCAAAGTGATGCAAGGCTGGGAGTATGTGAGGGCAGCAAAGAGGGCAAAAGGGGAGGTCAGCCATGTCTCATGGGTCAGAGAGCAGCCGCAGAAAAGCGAGAGCAGCTGGCAGCTGAGACAGCTGCTGCTTAGGGAGAAAATGGCCACTGAATTTGACATTACTTAATTAAGAGAGCACCTTAGCATGGGTCCCCCCTCCTTGCTTTGCTTCTCTACATTGCAGCAGTGGGGGCTGGGCAGTCTCCCTTTCCCAATGAAGCTCTTGGTAGCTGTCTCCTGTTCAGGCTCATCGAAGACACAATTAAATGCCTCTTTGTCTAGGGAGGGCTGAAACAATGCAAAAATGCCACCCAGGAGCCAGACCACATGCAAATGTGCCCTGCTGTGGCTTGTCCAGATGGTACAGGCACTTAGTGAGTTTCTCATACCAAATGCAACAGTTATGTAGGTTGTGCATGTCTGTCTGCCAAAAACAGAAATCGCAAACCCATCACAAGCACCTCAAAGATGGCCACAAAAGCACTACCTCAAAAAGTGAATGGAAAACAGCCCTATAGGAAGCATTACCCAGAGGAAAAGACAAACCTGTGCTCAAAGCAAAATACTAAGAGCATAGGGGGGAAAATCATTGTAAACATCTTTTGTGTATGAACAGAGTTGCACTAAAGAAATACATGCCTCCATTTTTTTCTCTTTAAGGAAAAATCATGCGGGATTTCAAGTTCTGTCCAATTCTCTGAAGTCAAAAGAGGTTGCAATGTATTTTAAGCCCCTGCATCACTTTTATCCCCTCCATTGGTACAGATACAAACTAAACTACTGAAAGGCCCACTCCAGCCACAATCCAGGCTGGAGCAGCCTTACTCAAAGCTAATTCCAAGCAAGCTTTAGTTGTGGTGAAAAGGAAGATCCTGCATTCTTTTGTTTTGTTTTGATTTGATTGTTCAAGTTTATGCCTCTTGCAGAGTCTGTATTTAATACAGGGTATCAAATTTGCACTGTGATGTAAGAATGGCTCTCTGTGCATTCAAGAACACTCTTCTGGTATCCAAAAATTTTAGCAATTTCCAATGTATGGATATGAAACTGATTGTTTTATCATGGGACAAGATCAAAGGGAAACAAGCTGCATTTTTGTAAAAAAAAAAAAAAAAAAAAAAAAAAATTTTTTTTTTTAAAAAAAAAAAAAAAAAAAAAAAAGGTGTTTTTATAAAAAGCATTCCTATTTAACCAGTAAGTTGCAAGCCTTAAAGGGAAAAACTCTACTGCTGGAAATATTTGAAAGAATCCACGAATATGTCTGGAGATTAGAACAATTTTATTCGTTGCTACAGAAAAAGTAGAAGTCATGGAGTGAAGTTCTGGCCCAAAGAATTAAACTGAATTCAACAGGAATGTTATTGATATCCAAAGAGATTTAGTTTAGTTTGTGTCATCAAAGGGCCATAAAATAGACTTAACAGTAGTAAAATAAAATCAGTGTTTTATTTCCACTTTAGATACCATGGACAATACTGTGTGACATTAAAAATTATTTTTATTTTCAGGTTTCAAAATTAAATTTAGATTATCAGCTTTTTAATCACATACAACAGTATTCAAAAGTATTATTTCATTCAAATCACTGAGATATAAGTGTGCAGATCAATTCGAGCTCATACCTACACACCTCTGACTTGGAGATGCACATTGGAGATGTTCCCAGCACTAGCTAGATTCACACTGGAAACTGATAAATCCCTGAAGGACTGCTGAAGACGAGATACTCAGCATTTCTTTACTTCAGCCCCTTCTTTGCTCCACTATGACTTCAAAAGGTGGGATTTTCTGGCTATATCTGTGATACCTCTTTGCCTTCCATCTTAAATCACCTTTTAGTTTGAAGATTATACCACTTGCAAGGCAGCCACATCACTTCTGAGCATCTGGTCTACTATGTGTGTTATATCGTATCTTTGCTACTGTAAGTTGTTGGATAACTTCTGATATAATCTTTAGAGGCTTTTTGCCTCCAAAACTCAACAAATCAAAGGAAAGCATATCCCAAACCACAACACGTGCTTGCTTCCCATTTGTGTGGCAATGAGGTAGGCCATGTTCTGAGCTCAGCTGTGCTATATTCACCTAGCTAATTAAGAACTGTTAAAAAGCATAGCTGACTTATAGAGGGCTTCATGCTGTTCTCCTTGCCTTGCATGAGAGAAATGAAATAGCCAAATGCTATATGACATTCAATACAATTTGGTGGTTAATACGCACTTATAGATCTTCTCAGTAAAATGATGTTCAAGGCTGTAAAATGTGTGTCTGTACACTTTGCTGTTTGAGAATAAAAATACAAAGTTAAACACAGAAAAAGATGAAAATAAACTATCAGGGAAGAAGATGATTTTGGATTGATTATTTATGTTAAGAACCTTAAAAGCAGGATTAGAACAGGTAGTCAAAGAATGTACATGTCTGCCAAGCAAGTAAAGTGGAATATAAGATCCATATGGCAGCATAGTAGGCAAATAAATAGGAAGATTTATTAATTACTGTTTTGCATCAAACCGTCTATAAAGAATTACCAGAAATCAAATTTTGCAGAATAGGTAAAATGAACTATATCAAAAACAAAAAAAAAAAAAAAAAAAAAAAAAAAAAAAAAAAAAAAAAAAAAAAAAAAAAAACAACAACACAAAAAAAAAAAAAAAAACAGTAAAAAAACCCCTGCTTCTTCATGTACTTTCTGAATGTACAAATTTCAGAGATTATGTTCTTGTTTTGCCATCATAATGTGATTTAAAATTATACCGTTTAGGAAGAAATATTTTGTTTTTCAATTTCTGTTTTGTCACTGGGATAAAGATATGCCCCAGTTCTTTTACTTTGAAAACTGTTACGGTATTTGTTTCATCAAGAAGCATTACAAAAGGGTAAGAACTTACTTATATATTTATTGTGTTTTTCTTTATTGAACCCTTTGCCTTTGGTAAGTACTAATGAAATCACAGCACTGAAATGAATCCCACGGCTGGGATTCATTATTTGGTTTAACAGGCTGCCCCGGGGAGTGGTGGAATCGCCGTTCCGGACAATGTTCAGAAATATGTGTGGATGTGATGTTTATGGACATGGTTTCGAGCTGGGCTTTGAAGTGCTGGGTTAACACTTGGACTCAATGTTCTTAAAGCTCTTTTCCAATCTAAATATTCTCTGATTTTGTTCCGGGGACAGGGGGCACAGAGCGCTGTGCCGGGGGCACGGGGGGGCTCTGGCGCCTGCGGCCGCGCCGTGCGCTCAGAGCGGCGGGCGCGCGCTGCTGCTCCCACAGCGGCCGCCAGAGGGCGCCCCCGCGCCGGCCCGCCTCTTCCTGCCCGGGCGGCAATAGGGGGTTCCCGGCGGTCCCCGCGCTGGGTGACTACATCTCCCGGCTGGCAGCGCGCCCCCAACGGCCGCCGGGCGCTCGTGACCAATCGCGTGCGGCCCGGGGCCTTTACCCGCCCCGCCCCGCCCCGCCCCGCGGTGCGTCCGCGATCCGAGCGCTCTAAGATGGCGGCGGTGGAGCCGGTGAGTGCCGCGTTCACTTCTCCCGCCCGCCTTTACCTTGCCTTCCTCCTACGGCATCCTTATCTTCTTCCTCCTCGTCGAGGCGCCGCTCCGCCGGCCGCGGCGGGCGGGGGCGCGGTGGGGGCCCGGCCGGGCGGTCGGGCAGGAGTCGGCTGGCCGGGGAGGCCGGCGAGGAGCGCACGCTCGCAGGGGCCGGGGAGGGGGCGGCGGGCGCCGTGGCTGTGCCGGCACCGCCGCCCGAGCGCGGCGGCCGCGGCTCCGGTGGGGTCCGGCGGCAGCGCGGCCCGCGGTCCGGCGGCGCCCATTGTGCGGCGCCCCGCCCGCGGCCCCGGCGGCCGCCCGGCGCATGTGGCGCGGTGGGGGTGGCCATGTTGGTTCCCGCCGCCGCGGCGGGCCGGGCGGCGAGGGGCGGCTCCTCCGGCCGTGAGGAAGGGCCGCGTTCCCGGCACGCCGGGCCCCGGAGAGGCGCCGCGGGGAGCGAGCGCGGGCCGGCAAGGCACAGATGCGCTGCTGGGGCAGCCGCCGCCACAGCCCGGTGGTGAGAGTCAGCAAACCAATCGCTTTTCCCAGGTTGTGTCGTCTTTTATTCGAGAGGATTTTTTTTTTTCCAGATCTTTCATGATATTCATGATAATTCAGTACTTCTTTTTGTTTTTTCCAGGTGATAAGTTATGTTCATGGTATATTATGCTCGGTCTTAACAAACGTAGCCCCAGCCTGCACTTCCATAATGAGCTGGAGCAGCTGGAAGTGATCCAAGTACAGTTGTTATTCTAATCCCACATGATTGTGTATCATGAGGAGAGGACAGCCGACGACTCTGTTAGGGTTTCAAGAAAACACAGTTAAGGAGGGCTGGTCTCTTGTTGCTGTGCTCGCCAGCTTTGAATAAATAGCCAGTGTGCTGTTTGGGGAGGCTTTGTATCATTTAGACAAAGTGAAAAAAGTTTGAAATCAGTGGTTTTAAATAAAAACTAATTTTGCCATTTTTGATTTTTCGCTTAATGGTTTTCTTGTGTGAAACAAACCTCAGATTTTTATCCATGAGGAAGAGATTGAAGTGGGTTAGCATTTATAAATTGTGTGGCAGCAGTTCTGTACAAGGAGAGTGTCAGTTATTAAGACTGCAAGACAGACCACCAGCAGCACCCTTCCGGTGTTCTTCAGCCAGTGTTAAACACTTGTTTTCACATCCCGGAGCCAGTCTTTGAGTTGTTGCCCACTTATCTGAAGATGAGGGCTTCCTCTCGGTGCAGTGCCTTGTGGTGACTGTGAAGCTTAGTAGGAATTGTGATAAATAACTTGTAATACAGCCATTAGAAAATGAAATTACTCTAAAGGCCTGCACCTTGCGGCTTTCTTAGCTGTGCTGCTCGCACAAAAACTGTCTTTACACCATTTTCTCCACTAACTCCATCAGCACATTGGGGTAGATCCTGGCCTAATGTAGCAGAAAGTAAACGATTGCTTTTGCCGTGCTGTGTCCCAGCAAGATTGATTGCTCAGATCCAGTTCAGTATGAGCAGTTGTGCTGAGCCCCTAAAAGTAGAAGATGGAGCAAAACTCACAACAATTTAAGTAATTAATGCGGTTATTGAATGTTTTGCTGTAGGTGCAGTATGTTCGCATTCAGGAGTCAGCTACCAACCAACTGTGCGTGCTTATTTTCAAATTGCAGTAAATAACAAAGTCTTTGTTATTGTCCTTGTAAGTGGCTCCCTTCTCTCGCCTAAGCCTAAAGTTAGGCGTGTGTAGTGACTGAGGTCAGAGGTGTTGCAGAAATACTGCGTGCTTTGTAGCTGAACAATTTAATTGCATGTGTGGTCAGGGACTACCTCTGGATCACAGGGAGGCCTTTCTGTTGCTCACCTGCAAAATCTGGACCTTGGTTTGTAGAGATGTCATCTGTAATGCTTTCCTGGTAGGAGAATGAAATGAAAATACAACTGAGTAAGGGTTGGTTTTGGTTTTATGAATACAGGCTTCTACTAAGATCAGTGGTGTTTCTTGTACTGTCATAGTTTCAAAAGTAGCATACATTGAAAGTCTTAAGAGGCTGGGAAAATGTTTGACTTAAATACAGAAACTTAAGTTGAGAATTCTGTAGTGAGTCCCATAATAGTTGTCAAAAAAGCAAAATTATTCTGTATAAATACAGACCAATTGCACAGTGGTTTACTTCTCTGCTGCAGGGAGAACTTAAACCTTTGCAACACTGACAAGTAAAAATTCTGTTTTTCTTGTGATATCTAGGTTTTTCTTTTAAAAATATTCTAGATTAATTTTTGAGACTATGCAGAAGTATCACCTGTTAGAGTGCTGTTATAAGCACTGTTAGAGTGCTTATATAGCCTTTGAGGATTAAATGTGATCAGAGAACACCATGCAAAAGTCCATGACAAAACGAGGAGTAATGCTTTAGTAAACAATTTACCAAAGGTGACTTTAAAATGTACCTGCACAAAGCCTGTAACTTCTAGGTGCATATAAATCTAATCCCTCATTGTGCAAATTGGAAATGGCATCATGGCTCTTTTGCGTTTTTGATTAATGGCAGTTATAATTACAATTCTTGTGAATTTAACTCTATTTTTTAGCATACAACAGTGACATTTCAGTTATCTGTAATTTGAAAAGCACTTGTTTGAGAAGGTAATCATACATAGGTGAGAATCAAAACTTTATTTAAATGAAACTACTATCTCAAGGGGTTACAAACATAGTGGTGCAGGACCTTAAAATGCTGGAAAGCTCATAATAGCTCCTAAAATTCCATGTAGGCTGAAAGGTACTTATTTTGCATTATCTGTAGACAGGTAGCATGTAATTTTAATTCAACTTCAGACTTGCTCTTGTTGCTAGGTGTTTCTGCTGTAGAAGTCAGTGACCTGATCTGCTTGAAGTTAGTATAGCATTGAACTGCAGTATTGTGAACACAGTTGCTTGCTCATTGCATTTTTCTGAAATGATGCAGAATAGATGTACCTTTCATGCTGTTTTATAATTGAGAATATTTATCATAAGCTTTTGAATTGTAAATAACATATCTGAGTTATTATGGAGCTTCCTCTAAGAGGGGTATGTTGCACAACTTATTTCAAAGACATGCATAAAAATGGCATATGAAATCAAGGTGTGTTTCATTTACTGATGCTGTCTGCAGGTATGGAGGTACATGCAAAATTTTTTGATGAAAAATATCCCTTTTGGCAGCTTTGTAAAGATTAGTTTGAATTTTGAGGTGATAGAGTGGAGCATTAAATCAGGGATGTTGGTAGAGTGCCTCCATTGTGAAAGAGAAACGCAAACTTTAAATGTGAATTAATGTGACTTTTTCTTCGGATAAATTGTCTTTCAGTTTTGAACTATTCTGTAATCGAGGTTAAACTTGAGTTTAGAAGCTGTTTATTTTCTTGCAGTAGTCTTCGTTTCTTGACGTTTAAAACCTGTTCTGTATAAGACATAGGTGTTAGGAAGGTGTGTGTGATGTGCAGATGTAAGTGTGCTGTAACACAACTGTGTTACAGCCAGTTGTTCTTGATTCTGTAGAATGAATGTAAGGCAGAAAAGTTTTAACTGTTTTAAGTTTTTTTTTTTGTAGAGGTCTATTTCTATTGTGTCTGTACTGTTCATCAGATAACCTGTATGTATGGCATCCTTTGCAGTCACTGGGTATACCAGTACTTTTTCTTTGAAGACCTCTCTTGACCATTCATACATTCAATATTAAGTTATTTTCTGAAGATTGAATGTGTCTTAAATTTTCAGCAGATATAAAATTCTATCCTTTGTTGAACCAGGGCTTAGGATACTTGTAAAACATGGAGGTCTTTTGTGTAGGAGTGTTTGGGGAGACTAGAGGCTTTTTGTTGTTTGATGTATCTGAAAGTCAAGAGGGCTATAAATAGTGTCTGTATCTTTTAAATTACGTAACATTTCCTTGAAAACCTTTGACCATGGAGGAAGTGTATGACTTTTTTACCTAGTCTTTTATGCGTGTTCTCCTGTACACATGTTCACTTCTGTTGCAATTTGATGTCACTCGGTTAAAATCAGGTTTCATGCTTGTGTTCTAATAGTGATTACCTTTCTAAAAATCTGTGGTGTTCCAAATAATGATGAATGCAGTTAGGATACTTGCTCTCTAGTATGCCTTGCTGTGTCACAAGTAGAAATCCTTTCTTTGTCCTGGTGTCTGGAAATCTACTTCACACTTCTAAATTGGTAACAGGTAATTGGTAACAGGTGGCTGTTAGTACCTCTCTTCCAGTTGCTATTACATGTACTATGTATGATTTTTACTGCGGTACATTATTCCTCAGAGTTGTGTCAAATCATCACTTGGTTTGTTTTCTTACAGGATGTAATAATTGCTTGTGGGTGTGCTTTAACTTTTTTTTTGCCCAGAATGTTTTGAAATAATTCTTGAATTTTGTGCTTTAGAAATTATCCTAACTGTAGCAGTTACCCACAAAACCCGTAAGGAGCAACAGATAGTAGAAATTGTTTTTCCCAAGATATCAGATAACTGGGGTGTGCAGTTTTCTTCTTTTGGAAGACCTAAACAAGAAGGTGAAAACTCCAGAATGTAACTTATTTTGGTTAAACGCAAGAAGACTTGAAAAGCCTCTTCCACTAATTAATTTGCCTTCACCAAGAGCACATAAGTGCTGGGTTATGTCCTTTTGGGCAATAATTGTTGCACTCCAACTGGACTTGCTAAACAACTTCTTCAGACAACTAATGACTTGAATGTGGTCTGGGCATCATCTGAAAGCGCTTGGTAAAACATAGTCAAGCTTCTTGTTCTCCTTAATAAACAAACCCGATGAAGCAGTTTTTATTGTAAATGCTTTGTTTCCTTCCTGGTGACATGCACGCCTTTCTTTGGTATGTTAGTCATTATGTGCTGTGGAGAAAGAGTAAATAACGCCAATTAAATCTGCAAGTGTCAGAGTCCAGGTAATTACAGATATACAGAGTCATTAAATGCTGAGTAGGCAAATGTTTCATGGACTTCTGCAGGCTGATTCCTACATCAAAAACCATGTGGATGGTGAATAAATGTCAGTTAATTATGTGCTGTCTTGTGTATGAGAAGTGGAATTGGCCATGTGAAGCTTTCTAGTTTATCTGGTAATACTACCCCTATTTTATTACTTATATTTTAAAAGCAGCAAAATCGGTGGTTACTTAGTGTATAGAGTCAATTTTAGGTTAAAGAATACATTAGTTATGAGCAATGGTAAAGTATTATGAAGGATTTTAAATAAAATACTCCAGAAACTGCAGGTGGAGTCAGTCTGACTTTGATAAGTGTTGCAATTGCAGGGTTCTAAGCTGTGAATTGCTAAAATGCAAATAGTAACATTAATTCGTGTGGTATTTATAGAATAGAATTCTGTGCAATTTCTTGGATACCTGGACTTGAAATACCAATTAACAAACTTGCATAGTTTCTATTTGACTAATAATGGGAAGTGCTTTGGTATACAAACCTTTCATTTTGGTACTCAGAATAGTGAGATAAAGCTAAAATGAAAGGAAATAGGGGCTGATAGTGATTAACCAGCCAAAAATTAAAATTATTATTTTTTTATGTTTTCCTTGATAGTATGGGAAATAGAAGTAAGTGAAAATAAGCTGATTTAGGCTTCTCTCTGAGGCCAGCCAGAAATAATGTTCTTTAATAATAAGTTCTGCTTCCAACTTTACATGTGGTGCACAGGCCTGTAGCTATACTTGATGGGGCAGCCTGGTGCTGAAATAAAAGTCTCTTTCTGGTGGCATAGTTTTTGAGGGGAGTGGCATGGTCTTGGGTCAAGGTCGTAATTAGTGGGGCCTTGGATGTGAGCTGTCATTCTCTGTTTTGGACGGGAGCTTGAATAATGGTTAGTCTGAGTTTCTTGAATGCCATGTAGATTTCAGACTATCTAAAGGGACTTGATATTGTGGTGGCTTAAGTAAAATGCATGTGAGTCAGATGTTTTCTGTTTGTCCAAAATCAGAATTTCCTGTAATTGTGTGAAGGATGATTATCAGTGTACCAGACAGGTGTTGAGGCTCATTGCATTTTTCTTTTTGTCTGAATGTGCTACCTTAATTTGTAATGTAGTCTTTTGTTAGAAGTTATGAAACAGTTTAGCCTTGCATGTGCTCAGTGGCTTTGTAGTAATTCTTCCATTTTATGTAGTTGTGATAATTCTGGAAGAGTGACCAGGGAGACTTTGGGATTAGTTCTTTGTATGTTGAAATCTAGTTGCTGAGCAAACATGAGATTCTCAACTGAAATTGGTTTTGGAGGATACTCTGCATCTGCATTCAGCGAGAGTGAGTCTGTTTGATGTTAAAATTCCTAGTGTAATAGCATTTGTAAATCAGTTGTGAATGTTAGATGTCACAGCTGCAGAGTATTGTGACTGAAAGCAAGCTTTATCACAAAACCAAGAGCTATTCCAGAATATCAGCAGAATTTTTCTTACTGTTTTTGCGCATGTAACTTCTCTGAATTTTCTAGTTAGAACCCCATACTTCAATTTTAGTTGTCTATACTTGTTTCTTTATAATATAATACAGATAACATGAAGGAGGAACTATTAAAGTGCTTCCTTGGTGAATTTTACAACTTCTCTTCACTGTCTTGAATTGTTCAGTGAGCTGGTTTTGCGTGATTCAAGATGAATTATACCAAAAATAAGTGGGGGTAAGACTAGAAATTCTATTCTAGATAGAATTTGAAGAATTTATTAAGTTTTTTTGAAGGTCTGCTTAGCTTTTTATAGTATTACACTGGAGGAGATGTGACAGATTTTTCAACACTGTACTTCTGTGGGTTTGTTAGTGATGATCCCTTTGGGAGATCTTCACAAAGCGTTTGGTTTTATTAAGAGGAAGGGAATTGTGCTATTGTACTGTGTAAATAAAGCCCTGGTCAAGTGTTCCCGTTAGATCTTGATATGTCAGTCTCTTCACTGAATGCAGGTGCATGTGAGTATTCTGAAATGTCATGAGGTATTTTTCTAGGTGGGCTGTTAAACTAATGCACACTTGATTAACTTCTCTGATGTAAAGCATAATATCATGCTTAATAATGCTAAATATATTGATAATGAAAAGAAAATCCCTGTTAAGACAGATCTTTAGGTGTTATCCAGGAGAGTTTGCCAACTGGGTCTGTGAAGATTGAACAATGTTATCACTTCAAATGCACTTTTCATCAGCTTTGGTGTGATAAATCTATGTGGAAGTGCAGAGTAAACTGTTCCATTAATTAAGTTGCTTAACATTACTTAATTCACTACTGTTATTTTTTTCTGTTAAAACCACAACATTTAAATTAATTTTTAAATACTACTCTTATATTGTCACATTTGGAATGTCTAGAGTCTTTGGATCTGCTGCACTTAGCTTTTATATTACTGAAGTGCTTTTTCTTTCTTGGGGTCAGCTGTATAGGCTTTTTTGTGTTAGTTCTTGGGAAGGAGCTACAGTACACATTCTGTGTTTCTGTAATCTAGCATGGATTTCAGGTTAGGGAGGGATGATGGTAACTGGCAGGGACACTTGGCTTCAGACACTTGGCCTCACAATAAAGTTTTGTATTCCCTGGTTTAAAGGAAAGTCATTAGAATTTCAAATCTGACACAGTGACTTCTCAAACTGAATGATGTGCCTGAGGGGGTTTGCATGCAAAGAGAATATAATTTATTACATGATGTTAAAGTATATTTAACATTTCTAGAGCTGTCTCTAGAAAAAGAGCTTCTGAAATCAATCTAATACATACTAAACCAGTAAGTACATTTATTTCAGTTGGAAATTTGAGAACTGATGTGTGTTTAAATTCTGCTGTTCAGTTCATGATGATGTTGCAAATACAAAGATAACTACACTGTCTTGGCTTCCAGCTGCTTGCAGTAGCTGATTTTAGATCTGAGAATCTTAGTTTTATCTTCTACTTGTATTAGATTTTTTAAAATAACAGGGCCTGTACACCTGTTTCAAATGATGCTCTGTTAGAAGCTGATAAAAAGAATTTTTGTTCTGAAGTTACTGTTCTCTGAATTTATTTTAGATGTGCATATTCTAGGTAATATAGATTGTATATTTCTAAAATAGCACTCAAAATTAGATATGTATAGTAAATAATTTTGGAGACAAATTACGTAGGAGGCAAATCACTGACCAGCAAAATGCAAATTCCTGCAGTTAGTGTTTATTGTAGAACCTGTTCAGATGTTGAAGAATAAGAGTAGACAAATTGTGCTTCCATTATGTGATTTGGGCCCACAATCAAGATAAATTATAGGAGCTCTTAGCTTCACCCTTTTTAAAGTAACTTCAGAGAACTAAATTGCTTCAATAAAAATTGAGAAGGAATGTATTAATAACCCCTTTCTTCAAACAGGAAACTGCTCCCAACCCCCAACCTGCAGAAGAGGAGAAAACCGAGGCAACACCTAGTCAGGAGGTTGCCAGCCCTGAGCAGTATATTAAACATCCACTACAAAACAGGTAAATGATACAGAAACTGATTGTAGTTTTGCCAGTGATAGAAAATGCCTGTGGCTTTGCAGCTCTTGTACACCTTATATTCTCTAGCAATATTTTGGGAATTCTCAGTGGTTTTTTGAAGGTTTTTGCAGTGAAGTGGCAGAGTAAGGAGAATCTGATCCAGATGTTAATATTCAGAGTCTTCTTCAGATAGTGCTGTTACAGAAGCTGAAAATCTTTGCAAGTTTTCAAAATGCAGCCAGGTACTTTGAAAGAGCATGACTTTGGTTTTAGTTGGAGGCAGGCAGAGCTTTTGTTGCTTTTGTCTGTTGTCGTTTAAGAGGCCGAGATGAAGCTGCTGCCCACTAGAACTGGAAAGCTTTGCATTCTGCTTTGTACTTGGGTGCCAGTGGTAAAAACTTGTAGTTAAATATATATTTCAAAGTTAGTGAAAAATTCAAGCCCTCTTACAGCTTTAAAAAGACCAGCTTGCTGATGTGTTACTGTGGAATGCTCAGTACTTACTGTTGGCAGGTGCCTTTTACCAAGTGATACCTTACTCTTTTTCTAAGTTTTGAGCAAGTGTGGAAAATAATGCTTCCCTGTAGTGCTATGCTGCATGTATCCCATTTTCCTCGTCTTTCAGCTTCCATCCTCCATCTCTTCTAAACACCTTGATTAAATTGATGCTAACAGTTCTTTAGAAGTGTTATTGAGGCTATTACTGGAATTGAGTAAACTTTTAAAACCAGGTTTGAAATGCCAGGAAGGGTCTCAAAACAATAGATTGACACCTAGTTACTTAGAGCTTTTTGCTGAGATAAGATAGCCTAGTGCTAACCTGAGTAATTTCAACACTGCTGAAATTATCAAGAGTGGAGAAAACCCCAACTGTTTGATTAAATGCCTCATTAGATACCCTCTTCCAGCATTTTAAAGTGCTGCAGTGATGCTTTTTAGATTCAGAAAGAGCATCTTTTTGTGAAAGGTTCAATTTTGTCTTGATACTCAGCAGAGATGATTTTTTTCATTTAGTTTCCTCTATATACACTAATTTTAAAACTTGAAGCAATCGAGTTTTGGAGATTTGAGGTGGTTGCCATTAGTAAGCTTAATACAGCTTGCATTTTAAAATTTATGGTTTCCTAGTATGAGAGTGCTTGGGAAGCTTTCATGTCATTGATAGCTTTGGAGTGATATCATTTGCTTGTGTAACCTTTATAAGGAAATTACTGGCCAGGGAGCCCAGTTTGAATTGTTGGTGTTGTTTTAGAACATGATCAGTTGTTTGTGGTAGGGGATTGCCATTTAGCAGTGACAGCAAGGAGAAACATCTAAAGTTTAGAGTCTTTAAAGAATTCCAAAGCTAGTTAAAATATTTATCTAATGGATTGATAAAGTCTGCTGTGATTCTTGTAATGAAAGCACAAACATTGTTAATATGTAAAGAATTAGATCATGTAGCTTAGTGATGAAAACTGACTTCCATGCTCATAATATATGAAGGTTTGCAATTAGTTTGACTCTAACAATATAAATAATTACAGTTTTAATATACTTTAATTTCTAGATGTTTTTATTTTGTTCTTTTTTAGATGGGCACTCTGGTTTTTTAAAAATGACAAAAGCAAAACTTGGCAAGCAAATCTTCGTCTTATCTCGAAGTTCGATACTGTTGAGGATTTTTGGGCGTAAGTAAAGATTTTTCAATATGCATGATAATTTTGGGATTTGTTGGCAAAGCTTATGTCCAAGTCAAAAAACCCATAAAGTACTCCATTAACTGCAAATTCTTGTGTGTAATTTCAAATATTTGCAAAACTGAAGGTGAAGTCTGTTGAAGAAAATGCAAATGAAGTTCTTCATCCTTTAAATGCACATTGTTTTGCTGACACACTGCAACACTGCTTATATTCATGTGTGCATGACAGACATATAGAACATTTAATTTGTGCAGTAGCTATCTCATAGTAACATGAACCTGTAAATTCTGGTGGTCAACTGATTGCTGCTTCCATGGCCCCACATTTTCCTCCTTGATTAAATTGACTGCTGGGTCATGTCACGCGTTCAAGAGTGCCTGAGTCTGGAGCATAGTAGTTGAGACTCATGCAGATTAATGGCATCCTTGAAAAAATTTGTTAGAAGTTACAGAAGAAATGACCTTCATTCTAAGTTGAAGGTCTGTGAGAGTGACTAGGCTCCAATAGCAATAAGAAGCCTTTGAAGGTGGGCCTGTGCTTTCCAAACACTTGCTTCAATCAAGATTTTGCCTGTCATAATGCTAAAACATGGAGAAAATGCAAGTGCTGTGACATTGAGAGTGAACAAAAAAGTATTATATATTTGATCTTAGTGTTTCATGCTACATTGAGTGTTAGGGTTCTTATTTTTGTTGCAGACTTTGTTTTGGATGTGGTCCCCGTGGAGGGAGGTGTGGTCTGAGTGTAGTAATAGGACCCATCAGTGACCCATTAGCACAGGGAGGAAAAATGCTTCAGCCTTTTCAGTGACTTTATTGCTGCAGTCCTGAGAGGGGAATGGCATTCTGGGCTTGTAACCAGCTTTCCTGTTCCTGCTGTGGGAGGGACTGCAAACTGTGGTTCACTCAGCTAACAGTGGTGGCGTATGTGATGGGCAGCTGAGTTGTTTGAAGCTGCTCACTGGTTGGTTAAGGTTTTGGGCTTCTGTAACTGAGCTAGTCTTGGTAATTAGTGCATAATTTAGATGTCTGCATTGAAGGTATAAAATCAGTCACCAGTAGTTAAGTTACACCTCCTTTGTGGTTGGAGTGGAAAATAGGTGTGTTGTTCTGGGGAAAAAAATTCAGCATCAAAGTAAACTTAAAAGAGGCAAACTGTTAAATTTGTAACTGGTGTTACAAATTCCTGTGCATGATTTCTTATTGTTAGAACATCACAGTAATCAATTTTCTTTTGATGCTGAACTATGCCTCAGTATTAGTAGGTTTTGGGCTACAGGTTGCTGTAATATGTGCAGGCCTCTTTGTGAAGTCTGACATGTTAGGGGTGGAAAAAGGCCCCCATCTCCTTGTTTGAGAAGGAGACACTATGTACTCCTTTTTCTGAACTGCACAGTTGTAAATTCTGAATATACGTTTTATTGTCTATCATCTGTTCTTGCCTTTTGAGTCCTTAATTTGAATTATCAGGCCTACAGCATTCATACCTAGAGGTGCTGTATCAAATATCAAGGTTGAACATTTCCCCTAAAAAAATTTCTCAGCAGTGCAAGTAGCCTTAGAAATAGAAACAGTTATCCTTATTCCATGAATGTATAGAATACACATGGACACAGAACCTATTGCCATGAAAGCTCAGTGAGTTATGTTGCTAATATCTTTGAACTTCAGTTCTAAACTTTAGAACTAGGTTTAGAAGTAGTATTGGAAATGAGTTTAAAAACAGTTGTGGAATTCTTATTCCATTCTGCTGCTTTAAGCCTAGAACATCTTAGTACTGATACTTTTATATTGTTTAAAAATACCTTACAAATAGGGTTGCTTCTGAAATAACAGCTCCTTAATTTTTGGGCTTTGGTCATATGTCTTAAATTCTTTAAGAATTTTGTACCTTAAAACAATGCTTAGTTTTTAATCCTGCTTTTTTCCCTCCAATAGTTTATACAACCATATCCAGCTCTCTAGTAATTTAATGCCTGGTTGTGACTACTCGCTCTTTAAGGTAGGCTTGCTAACATTTTTTCTTTAGTTAAGGATGTTGATGGATGTTTTCCTGTCTAAGCAAGACACTGTCCAAATATTTCATTTAAGATATTTAGGAACATGGTTGGGAATGTCATAAAGGTGTTAATTTTTTTGAGGAAGTCCCAAACATTGTCTGAAAATCAGGTTGTCACTACTTCCGAGATTACAAGTACTTGCTTTAACACATATTACAGACAGTAGATTTTAATCTGTGACTCGGTGTTTGTTTTACATTTGAGATGTTTGTGCAAACAATTAAGTGTAAATTTTTCTAATATGAAAGGTTTTTCAGCTCTATCACGTGATGTGAAATGAGTTAAAATGTCTGTGGGAGGCAGCAATGTTGCCTAGTATTTCTTATGGGTGTACTGCTAGCCAGATGCACAGTACTCCTGTTAATTTTTATACTACCAGGTAAATGCTGTATTACTTAAGCATGAAATAGAAAAGTGCACCCAACATGGACAATAAGAACATGCTGAGGAAGTGTCCAGACTAGTGAATAGGGAAAGTGTACGTGAAATTGTGCCTCAGCTGGGGCGGAGATCTGAATTGGGACTCTTAAGTTAAATCCTAACTTCTTGGTAGTGCTTTATTATGCAGCTTCCTTTCTGGATTCCAGCATGTAAATAGTCTCTGAAGTTCTGGTGCCTGGTTCTTCCTTTGCTCATAAAATGTAGCCACAGGCTGGGGCTCCTCAGAAGACTGTGTGCACTGTTTGTAGACCCAGCAGCTTCATATAGTGAAGAGGTGCTGCTGCTTGGGTTTGGAAAGGTAATTGTATTCTAGGTGACTGAGAAACCTTGGTAGAATTTTAAGAAGCTGTGGGCTCTTCAGAGATTAGGATATCTATGGATAATGCTTGTATTTCTTGCATTAATCCTTAATTTGTGTTTCAAGTACGTGTATCTGTTCTGTGTTTGCTTGTCATCAAGCAGTAATAATTATGTAACTTCATGGAACAGGTATAGAATTGGCAACTGCTTCAGGCTCCTGGGCAATCTCTTACTGCTGTCCTTCAGTTGTGACCTCTTAAGAGGTCCTCTTAAAGGTGATGAAGTAGTTTAAGCTCTGCAGCTGCCAGTGAGGGTGTTATATTTAAAGTGAGGTGACACCACTCTATCCTGAATGTTGAACACTTAGTTTTCGGCCATAAGTTTTGTCATGCAGTTCTTAGTGGACAGTTCTTAACAGAATTCCTCTGTCTAGACAATTATGTACTACTTCAATGACTTTCAGAAGTGCAGCACAGCTGGTAGATATGGGAGCAGTAGCTGGCTGCATTGCTGTATCAGCATGTGCAGAATCACTTAATTCAGTGCAGGGCCACTGGCAAAAATGTAAATCAGATTTTGCTCTGAAAGGATATATTGAATTGTAATTTTTTTCTTCCTTCTCCCCAGCAATAAAAATCTTCTTATTCTCACCTTTATGTGAAGGACGTTCTTGGGAGAGACTGCCAAAGGTGTTTATTTCAGTGAAATAATCTGTATGCGTGAGTGAAGTACTTGGCTGATCTTGCACTGAGTGCAAGACGTAAATTAAGGACTCCAGATAAAATTAGCTGCTGCATTCTGGTTTCATGCAGGGCAAAGCAGGTGGTTGTCTTTGCCTGTTGCCTCAGGATTTTTTTTAATGTTACATGTAGCTAAGACTTTTGCTTGGACTGTGATGCTTCTGTGGAACTAAAAATTCGCTGGAGTGTGCACTAGTTTTGGGAGTTTGATATTGGTATGAGAGACAGTATTCCTAGACATTCTGATTATGTGTCTTAAACTGTATGCTTCTCTCAACTAGCTGTTCCAGTTACCTTTTGGTGAAAAAAAAGCTTTTTGGTGGCTCTTTAGGGAAAATAGAGATGGAGTCTGATTTAACTTGTGGCCTTTCTTTGCAGGATGGGATTGAACCCATGTGGGAAGATGAAAAGAACAAGCGAGGAGGCCGATGGCTAATTACACTAAACAAGCAGCAGAGACGAAGTGACCTTGATCGCTTCTGGCTAGAGACAGTAAGCACCAGGGGCAGCTGAGGAGTCTTATGTTTGTGTGAAAATGCATTTAACTGATTTGATATTTGTGTGCTATGCTATTCCAACTTCTTGGCAGCAGTGTCTTGTAAGGTTTTATTGACAGGCTTGTATTTGAAACATATTTTTTCAATTGTGATCTTCATGTGAGTGTATTGTCTTAATACTTCCTTGTAACAGGCAGCAACAGGGAGAGTTCTGTAGGACAGATTAAGCTTTTCCCATGTAATGTACAGAACATTACTGTTGAATTACTGTGAAAATAATACATTGTCTTGAGTGTAACTTGCTGATTCAATTGATAAAACAATTTGTTTTACAAATACTTTTTTTAAAAAAGTGAATAGTTTTCAGGTTTTGGCTTTGTTAAACAAGGGACTTTCAGATTTAGTTTTTTCCTTCTATATTTATCTTAATGCTGGGGTAGGCAATAATAGACATTCATCCTGTATATACATACCATAAAAATACGTTTTTTCCATTGCTCTTATCTCTTTGGAATAGAATTGAATTGTAAATATATTTCTAGTGTGGATTGCAGTAAATGTCTTACAGAAAAATGTGTTGTCTAGGAACTGACTCAGAATAGCCTAAGTCTAGTGCAATCTAGGATTTAGGGATATGGATTGCAGACAGGACAATGCACAGCAGTCCTGGCAATCTCTCATCTTTTGTCCTTGGTTTTGTGAGAGGCAGGGAGTATTGCACCCCTTTGGAAGGGAGAAATGGCCTTCAGAATCAAAGCAGAGGTGTCCAAAATATCAGAACTTTCAGGATCTTTGTAGTCACTGTGGCTGTGATTTGAAGAGAGCCTTCAGTTCTGAGCATTGTGACTGCATGTGAGCAAATTAACATCCTGCTGCATATACTTGGCCTATTGCATGTGTGAGTCCTGACTGCTAATAGCTATGACATATGGCTTGGAAACATGTAGATATACTGTGCAAACTGAAGGCTAGAGGGCTCTACTTTTTGCTTAGCAGTGAGTAATGGCACAGAGCCTAAATACCCAGGTGAATGTGATACGTGCCCTAAAACAACCCTGTCACTTCTAATTCCAGTAATTATATGCAACCAATTTTCAGCAATAGAAATCAAAGCCTTTATAACTCCCCTTTGGAACAAATTTTTATTATAATGATCTTAAATGTAAACTAAACTTCATTTGAGAAGATTTTTTTTCCTGTTGTGCAACATTCATGTACATACAAAATGTTCCTGAGTAGTGTTTATTGAGCATGGTTGTTATCTTTGCTTGCATGTGAACTAAAACAATTGGTCAATATTTTGCATGTCTGTGTGTGGTTTGATCTAAACCATTTATGGCTTAAATTACTCAGTGAGTGTGTGCAGCCTGCAGTTGGGTGTAATATTTAAAGCATGTCTATTTATACCTGATTTATTATTTAGTAGCTTTGTTCCTTTTGTATTTCCTGGAGTAAGCCAGCCCTTCAGGGTCTGATGGGTAATGGAAGACCTGGTTTGTTTGACAAATTGCAAACATGCTAAATTTCCAGAGATTATAAGTGGTACCAGAGAGCTGACATAACCGCAGTGTATTTAATGTACTGTGCAAGTGAAGGAATCAAGTGTCCATTTGCAGATTCGGTGTGCAGAAAAGTTTTTTTTTTAATTCAGCATAGTCTAGGCAAATCTGTCTCAAGCACAAGAAACCATTCGTTTTGAATGTCAGGATTGCTTGTTTTACAAGTTTCAAGCTGAAGGTTTTAAATACCACTTTCACAGTTAGCATGTTGCACGGGTCCGTGACCCTGCTCAGTCTGATGTTCCTGCTTCAATTCCAAGCTTTACTGCTAGAAACCCAGAGGAAGAATCTTGTGTTACTTGTGCACCTGCATTGGTGCGTTGTATTAAACCCTGTTCAGGATCACTGATGCCCACTTTAGAGTTTATGGAAGCACTGAAGCTTCCTGTGTTAGTTGGAAGTAACATTTCATTGGGTAGCACTTACAGTCTAGCTGCAGTCAGATTTGCAGTCTGAACTGATAGACTTCAGCATTGAAATTAAACTTTATGTGATGTTGTGCAAATAGTCCTTAACAGGTTCTTCCTAGCTAATAGATGGGAACAGCTAAAATTTCAGATTGGTCCATCTGTGTTAAGTGTACTGTAGAAAGAAGACTAGTGCTTCAATTCTTCTCTTATTTTGGATTGGGAGGATGGAGTGGAAGGCAGTACTGTGGGAATAATCAGCTGTGGCAGAACTTGCGGCAGGTGGCAGAGGAGGAGGAATGGAAAATTCAGACTAGAAGGAAGATGCCCTACTACAGTATGTTCACTTGTAATATTTGGAACTTCAAGAAGACACTGCAATAAATAGAAAGTGATTATTGTATGGCAAGTAGCTGTAGGCAGTAAAATGTGTTCCTCAGTTCTTGTGTACACTGAGTGCTTGCTTGCCTACAGAACAGGATTCTGATTCTGAACTGCTTTCTCTTTCACAGCTGCTGTGCCTTATTGGGGAGTCATTCGATGACTACAGTGATGATGTGTGTGGTGCTGTTGTTAATGTTAGAACTAAGGGTGATAAAATAGCAATATGGACAACTGAATGTGAAAACAGGGATGCTGTTACGCATATAGGGTAAGTAACGTGGTTGGTGCCTCGCCTGTATGGAGTGTAACCATGCATGTAAAGCCAGTTAAGCTTGATAGAGGAGGCATTTCAGGCAAGTGGAGCCTGTGCAGAGCTGTATGCCAAGCTTAAGTAACTGTGCCAAATGGTGTTCATTTCTTAATTTTTAAACTACAGGGAAGGTAGCGCTGCAGTACAGAGTAGTTACTAACACGTGCCCATACACAAATCTTGGCAAAAGTCTCATTTCACAATGAGGCATTGTAATTAACAACTGTAGGTAATGTGCAATCTGTTCCAGCCTGCCAGTTTGTAAAGGTGGGTAGTCAGTAAGAGTAGAGCATTGATACGATCTTTTTTTCAGGAAAGTGATGCTTACAAATGGGAAAGGAAAGGTGCTGCAAGTCTGAAGCACAGAAGGATGTACTCAGATTTAGGGGAAAGAAAAGCTGTACAGTGGTGTGCTGTGAAACTCTACATTTTGCCTGTTTAAGTACAGATAAAGCAGTGAAGATGATTTGTGGGTTATTTGACCTGCATGCTGTAGACTTTGTTTAAATAAGTAACAGCAGTTATCTCAGATTGAGTCTGTGCTATGGAAAATGCATGTTGTGCTCTAGTGTGTAGCAAGTATTACTAATTACAGAGTTACTATTTACACAATTACAATTACTAATTACACAAGTATTTATTGGATTCTTTAGTACTGGTACTTTGAATTAGTTGTTGTAGGCCATTTACCTTAAGCAAGCCAATGAAAATATTTATCTTCCTGGCTTAGAGCATCTGTCTTAAGCCAACTTGCACTGTCAGGCATAGCAGCTTTTTTCACTACCTGAGAACTCTTTTGACACATGCCTTTTCTGGGGGGGCTTTTAAGAATCTGTGTCTGCCTTTTACTAACAATTTGATTATACAGTTATGTTTCAGGCTTCAGTGGTAAGTGTTTAATAATAAACAAGCAAAACTACAGTATTCATCTTCCTACTACCACAATATTGCAATAAACCTAGTAGGTATCAGAGAGCATTTTAGATGGTATTAACCATTAACTAAGGAGTTGAATCCTTTAGAGAACTGTGAAAAAATTAAGATTTTTGCAAACTGACACAAGGACCAAGGTAAGTTATGTTGCCCTCTGTCTCCCTTATTACCCTAACTCCAGACAGGAGTGGCTGTTAGTGACTTGCATTTCACTGTGTGCTGAGGAGCACTGTATGTGTGTGTTTGTGCCTAAGGCAGGTACTGCAGCTTCTTTCTCTTAAGACAAAAGATCCAAGGTGGTTTTTCTTAAGGCTTCTGTTGGGTAAGGGGCCTGTGACAAGGTCTGTGGGAGTCTGCTTTCTAGCAGTAGTTAAAGGAAAGACAGCAACTCTGCAGCTATGATGTGTGGGGTGATTAAAACTGACTGTTTCAAGGAATTGATGTTTTCTTTGGTTCCAGTGGCTTTATCATCTCAGTAGTTCTGGAATTGTGAACTGTGAGTTCTTCATAGCAGTTTTGATTCTGTATGTAGAAAGACAGCCTTCTGATTTAATGATACTCACACAAATGCAGTATAGAGTCCCTGCATTTTGCATTTATTTAGGTTAGTTATTTTTTGCAAGAGCTTGTCCTATCATGTGTGGTAAGTCATTTTACAAAACTTTAAGTAGGTTTTAGATGCAGTACACTAGAAAAAATATTTAAAGTCCTTTATTCATATCTGAGAAATTGTTTCTAAATTGGCAATTCTTTTTTTTTTTTTTTATCGTGTCCATAAATCTCAAAAGCAGGTGTCCTGCTACGAATTCCTTCTTAAGGACTTTGCTTAAACTGTTGTTTTATTTCTTTTCCTCTCCAGGAGAGTATACAAGGAAAGATTAGGACTTCCTCCAAAGATAGTGATTGGTTATCAGTCCCATGCAGACACAGCTACTAAGAGCGGCTCCACCACTAAAAATAGGTTTGTTGTTTAAGGCGACACCTTCTGAGTATTCTTTCATAGGAGACTGCGTCAAGCAATCGAGATTGGGAGCTGAACCAAAGCCTCTTCAAAAGCAGAGTGGACTACATTTAAATTTGATTTCCATCTAAATGTTGCTAAGATTTGTGAGAAGTCTCATTCGCCTTTGTCTTGTACTTCTATGTTCAATTTTTCTATTTTAGCCAAAGTAACTGTTACCAATTGGAATTTTAGTACACTTCACCCCCCAAATCCATAAGTGTGTTTCTGGCCCACTCTGTAATAGCTTGGTAGAAACATTACTATTGCAAAAAAAGAATTTGTTTATCCACAGTATTCAGAAAAGAAGTTGCATTTCTGTACCTGCAGGAAATTACTCTGTTTCACATTTGCATTGTATGCAGTAAGATTTTGCTGGTTTGGAAAAGAGTATGGTGCATACAGTTTTCTAGCAATTTTTTAATACAGCATCATCTTTGCTGTAACCTCTGCTGATGGCTGCTAGATTAATTTATTTGTTTTCCCTATTTGATAACATTAGTGATATTTTGATTTCAGTTGTTTTTGCTCATGTAACATTTGGTGAAGAATCTGGGAGTATGACAAAGGTGGAATAAACATGAATTTTGTGCATTCTTTGGTAATTTTTTGGTTTTTTTGTAACATCAAAGCTTTGCTACAGATTTATGCATTTCAGTCAAATCAGTGATCTTTTTGTGTGATTTCCTGAACGTAAATATGGATTTTTTTTTTTTAATGTAACACCATAATTTACATTCCTTACTAGAAATAGTATGTCTGTTTTTGTATCTTATGCTGTATTTTAACACTTTGTATTACTTAGGTTATTTTGCTTTGGTTAAAATGGCTCAAGTAGAAAAGCGGTCCCATTCATACTAAGACAGTGTACAAAACTGTAAATAAAATGTGTACAGTGAATTGTCTTTTAGACAACTAGATTTGTCCTTTTATTTCTCCATCTATACAGCAAGTATTTGTACTTCCTGTGACAAGGCAGTCTCTACTGTGGCTTCTGTTGTAGTGTCTTCCAAGAAAGATAAAGTCTGGAGCTATAGTCTGTTGAAACTTTTAATAAACCTATTAGATAGCACCCTAAATCAAAGTGGAATTATATCAATGTGGCTACTGGTTCTTTCTTAGTAGTTGGTCTAACTGATCATGGTTTTTGTTGTTTCTCTTTTGACTTCTGTTTTATGCCCAACCAAGAATTTTAAGGGTACACAGAAAGCTGCTTAGTTTCAGGTAGGAGCTACAGTGAAAGTGCTTCAGTGAGTGATTCTGCTCTAAGGATATAATGCATAAAGTACAAGTAGAGCATACCAGAGACATGGCTACAAATAAAAGTATGAGTATCTAGATAGCTTGCTATTACATATGTCTGAGCAGTTGAAGCTTTGTTTATTCTGAAGAGCTGTAAGTTTACTTGGAAGTCCACAGGATGGAGGAGATTTTGAGGGTTGAGTTCACTTATTTTGAGCAAAAGATGAGAGACTTGTTCTTTCCACCTCTTGGAGCATGCAGCAAAATCAGTGCTTTATTGCTGATTTCTTGGTTTTTTTTTTTTTAAAGCGTGTGATGTACTTAAAGATCTTGCCAGGGCTATGGAGCCTTTCTTCAGCTGAGTGTCAAGGCAGGTGCTTATTGGGGTTTTGATCTTTGTGATAACTGATTAAAGTGAGTTTAGTCACTGGCAGTGGAGCTTCAGTCACATCTGCCTGATGAAGGCACTGAAGTGTCTGTGTGCTGAAATAGACTTGAACAGTTTTCTTGCACATTTATTCAGAAATGTGTTGTAAGGAGCATATCAGACTATGCCAAAAATGTCTGGATGATTATTATGGCTGTTTAATAGAAACACATAGAATAGACATCTCTAGTATCTAAAGATGCTATGCCTTTAGTATTGGTCATTAACCAGGATATCTGTGAATGTGGAAAGCTGTCTAGGCTGTTTGTGTGCTGGTTTCTGTGGATTCTCGTGTAACTGGTTGCCTGTCCTGATTCAGCAGGTGTGAGAGCAAGTCAGGTTTGTTTAATAGGTCCATTGATAGTAGAATATAGTAGTCCATGCCTGTTTCCCAGCTTCAGCTAATCATCAGTAATGCTTGCATGCATGGGTATGTGAAGATGAATCAGCATCCTGAGTGGTGACTCTGTGTGTAATTTGGGAGCACGGTGGCCCGACGCCCTCAGAGGAGTGTCACTGGAAACAGAGGCAATGCTGCCCTTTTGGTAAAAAGCATTGAGATTAACCTGAGTGCTGTTGTGAGAATTACATGGTATTGGGTTTGTTCATTTCACTACAGGACTGACCAGAGTATTATTTAGGGTAGCAGCATTTTGTTCATCTAGAAAAGCAATTGAAAGGTTTTTTTGGTATGGCCTCAGGTTTTTGAGCCTGAACCTATTGAAGCAGCCAACTAAACTGTACTGTAGTATGAAAACCGCAGGCAGGTTGATTTGAGGTTCTTTGTTGCTCACATAACAACTGCAGTGTTTCTAGAAGACTTGAGAGGAAATTAGCTGGCATGGTTGCTCTATCAAACATACAACCTATGCCTGTAATTCATTTTTAGAGGAAGTAAATTACCATGAACCTTGTTTTCTCCAGCTTGCAAATCACTTTGTGTTGCATACTAATGTTCTTCTGATTATAAATGTGTAGTTTGTGTTTGTGTGCTGAGGGAGAAAGCTGAGAGCTCTCCATTCTGCATGTTACTGTAACAGTCACAGGCTCAGGAGAGGACAAAGCAGTAAATGTTGAAGCATCTCATATTGCTGCAGAATATTCAGTGTGATTGATTGAACTCCCACCTAAAGGGGAGGCTGTTAGTAAGCCTGGGAAGACTACAGAGTAAATGTTTAAGGCATCTTTTCAGAAGTCAGATTATGTGGTACAAAACCAGAGCAAGGAAAGTTAGCAGAAATTGCTGTGCTAGAAGAGGTGTAAGAATGTGCCAAAATACAGATGGGGCAACAGATGAGGAATATGTGTGAATTGTCAGTTTCTGGATATAACGTTAAGTCTTGGACTGTGCAATGCTTTTTATTGCCACTTCTGTTTGTCCTGTTGTGCTGTCACTGTCTTGTCTATCAAGTTGTCTCTAGCTCAGGAAACTTAAACATTACCTAAATTCTGGAAACTTGGAATAGTGGCTTTTAGCCAAGCTTGGAGTGAGCTCAAAGTTTTCATCCTACCTAATGGAATCCTTTCTTACTAAATTGCTTGGAAGAAGTACTCTGGACTCCATTCTGGGACTCTTACTAAATGCAAAAAAAACCCCAAAAACTTTGCATTTTAGTCTCTGGAAGTGTCATGGATCTTCCCTTTGATATGTGACCTCCTATATTTCCAAGAAGCTTTATTTTTGAGTCTTGGCCTGATGGTTTTAAAACTAGTTTTTAAGAACACCCTGCACTCAAGTGCTCTACCAGACAGTTAAGCTTGATAGTTAAAACCATAGAGCTTTCAGGCTGCCTGGCACTTAACTTTTAGAGGACTTTGCCCTCTTAGTGATTTCTGCAAAGATTTTTGTGAATAGGTTTTACTTAGGTCTTAAAATAACTTCTTAAATGCAGAATTTGTGCCTTTTCCCATTGGGCAAGAAACAGGCAAATGAAAATGACATGACCAGGAAGGAAATAGGTATAACTATTTCATTTCAAGACATTTCATGCCTGTCCATCTGAATTCTTTGGAGGGCAGAAGTGCAGAATGCATTAGCAAGCCATGTGAAACCAGTCCTGTGGAAGGCACCTGCTGCATCTTTCTATCATTGCTGTAGAGCTTCAGGAGCTGTTCAATCCCAAAGGCTTGCCATTTTTGATCTCTTTGTGGGACACCCATTCACTGCAGCTGCTTGAACAGGTTTTCTGTCTTTTAGAAGTTTTGTATTCTGCCAGAATTTCTTTTCAGGTGTCTGGCTCTGGCACTGCAGCAAAGCCTTTAATAAGCACTTAAATTCCTTCCCCTGTGATAAAAACCATGGTCACCCTTCCTCTTGCCTGGTGGCTGTCTGGCACTTTCCCAAAAGACTATGGGATTCCCTCCTAGCCTTCCTATTTTGAAATAAAGCAGGTTCTGATATCCAGAGCTAAATGTGAAATATGGCTGTGCACATGATGGTTGTTTATGCTTTGCAGCATTAACTTGTTATTTTGTGTGATGCCTTAAATGTAAAAACATCCTAGCTGAAGTTTGCCTGTTGGTGTCAGTTTGCCTGCTAACCAAACAACTCAGATTTATTTTTTTTTATTCCCTGCTAGTACTGAGCGTGTGACAAGCTTAGCTGTGAATTTGTGGGGTTTTATGACTGCGTGGGGTTTATGACTGCCTATGCTTTTCTTGTCTCCATTTTTCTAATCCTGATGCTTTTTGAGCCTTACTAAAACATGTTTAATAAAGGGGAAAATTAACACTGAGTCTAGTCACTGCTTTTTTAGTCACTGTGATACAATGGAGAATTCCAGGTGTTGCTAAACCCAGATAAAGACCGTGTGTGACTTCTTTGGCATAATAATCTGCTTATGGGATTTCATTTTTTTATCTCTAGACATGTAAGTATGATAATAGTGAAAATGATACTTGAAAGTGTGTGGATATATCGTATATAAAGCAAAAATTACTCATCTATTTTTTCAAAGTAGAAAACTGTTTTGTTATTTCTAAAAGGTTTCTTTGACTTTCTGTAATGACTTACTGGATTTTGCTTACAATAGGTAGTTTAGATCGATCTTTTTTCCTATGTTGTGCCTGTTATTGTTATCAAAGAGTTGGAGCCAGCCTCATAGGTCAGGTTTGGCATTCTTTGAAGTAAAGCTAGTTTTTGAGGCTTATCTTCCTCCATATGTACAGGGTAGTTTATCCTAGTTCATCTTGCCCTGAGCCATACAAATACGCAGAAAATATAATGGGAAATTGGAAGGTACTAAGGTACTACTTTATTTCTGTAGTTTGAATGAAAATAAAGTTTCTGAGGATCTAATGTCTCAGCTTCTTGACTCTGTATGGGATGTAGAGAAATGCAGCTCAAACATTCATGAGTGTGGAACTACTTTGAAACCTGTGTTCTCTCTTCAGTTTGCAGCTTGTGTGTGGCTGGGGCTCCTGCAGCTCACCCACACATCAGCATTCTTCTAGGCAGAGTTGGTGTTAACAGCAGTGATTGCAACATTGTAATGCTGGTAATTGCAAAATCATTGCTCTTTCATTGTTTACCAGAGTTCTCCAGTAGGAAGAAGTAGTCTAAACACGGTGTAGTGGATCAACCAGCAGGAAAGTGCAGCTGAAACCTTCATGGGAGCTCCTGTTGTGCCACTGCAGTGACGTCAAACAGCTGGAGCCAGTGCCGGTAGTAGCAGGAGGGCTTTGGTCTGCCTGTGCTGTCCGCTGCAGCACCAGAAAAAAACTCTGTAGGTGTTGCCACTGCACATCTGTGCACTTAGAGTGCCAGAGAGGTCTTCTGATACAGGAGTAGATGTTTGACTTGGCTGTAAATTGACCCCACTACATGTTCATATGATATATTTGAAGTGGAGATGCTGCTTCAAAGTTTCTCTGGACCAGGAAATGTCATCCTTCAGTATATTTCCTAAAAGCGAGGGAGAAATTTGCAGGCTGACATGTGGGGACAGATGCATTCCAGATTGTTTGGGTAAAAAAAGAAAAAAGCTTAAAAAGTTCCCTTAAGTATTTATTGCTTTATTGGAAATGGTGGGGGAGGGGGTGGGGGTGGGGGGGCATCAAGGGCAGAACTGAGGTTTGATTATTTTTTTATTTTTCTCTGCCTCAGGCCGTGAGGGATTTTCAAAGGTGCTTTGGGGAGAAATAAAAATTGGCAACTAGATTCAAGCACAGACACTTTCATGGAATTTTAAGGTAAATTTCCCCTTCAAGGTTCTGGTTATGGCTACAGTAGCCCCTAATCCTCAGTGTTATTTAAAGTTTGTAAGGGTGACAAGGCCACATGAATGTCTTTTTTTGTCTTCATTAAACTGGTGCTTTGCCAGTGTTTTGTGGGAGTCATAACAGTGGTGCAAAGTATTCATAAGCTGTAACAGCAGTAACTGCTGCAAAAGAAACATCGTTTGGATATGGATGGCTTAAGTAATAGATGATCCCTTCACATTTATGTGAAATGTGAAAATGATACAAAGGGAAGAATTAGGTTTTGTAATGGATTTGATGCTTTTCCTTGGCCACTGTTTCTTGGTAGAAGCTGTGGTGTCCAGCTGTCCCTGCACAGTTGTGCACAGCTGTCTGATGGCTGCAGGAGTGATGGCATTTCTGAGGGGACACTGAGGGAGCTCTTGGCAGCTGGGAGCTGCTTCTATTCTCTGAGTTTGTGCTGTTGATGCTCTTGGTTATCTCCAGTAAGCTCCGGGACTGAGAGACGAGGTTTTCACTTCTACTCTGCGACACGATCTCCTCCAGCTGCACTCCTGCGGTATGTGAACCTGGTCCTGGTTCTGTGCACTTACTGTAGCTGCACTAACCCTGCCCCTTGTGTGGCTTCATGAGAAATTCAAGGTGTTCTGCCAGAACAGGCTTAATTCTGGATTGACTACAACTCAATTAACCTTTCTATGCTCTTAAGGCTACAATTTAATTGCACTAGAACTACTATGGTCTGGGGTCATCGCTAGTTAAATTAACTTGAGGCAACTCAGTCCTACTTGCCTTTAATTTTAGACTTTTCTAGGTTTGAACAGCAGAGAATCAGCTTCTTTGGAATGCTGGAGTGTCTTTGTTTAAACACAGATAAGCTTGAACTGTGGCTTAGGTCTGCCTTCCTGTCCCCTCAAGGAACTTGCAGCAGAACTGGCATGTGTCAGCAAGGGAATAAAATGCCTTGGCAGTGTAACGTGTTTGCAGTGAGATCATTTGCTGGCTGTCTTGTTGCCAAGTGCTGTGTCTTGCAGTGCTGGGTCCAGACTTTATAAGAAGGTTTGTACGGGTTTTAACTACGTTTGAGAATACAACTGTCTTAATATCGTGGTTTCTCCCATGTGTTTTGTCAATTTTCAGAGGTTTTATTTTTGCCATTTTTAACAGTTTCTGAGGATTTCTGTAGCATTGCTGAGCTGTGCTCAATGGTAACTATTATTGATACTATTAACTATTTTGTATATATATAACTGTTATTGGAGTGCTAACGTTTCCTAGCAGTTCTGGAGCACCATGCTGGTTATTGAACCTGCATGCTGGCTGCAGCTGGGTTGGTTTGTTTGGAGTAGAAGAGAGAAGAGATTCCTAGCTGCCTCATGCATTTATTGAGGGTTGGTTTGAGGAGTTTTTTCCCAAAGCTGAGCCCTAACCTTAAAATGGAGACTGCAGATAGTAAAGGCATTCTTTCAGTTCACCCATCTGGAGAGGGGGTGGCCAGCAGCAGATAGAGGAGCATCCTCATAGGAATGTGCCAGAGGGCTGTGAAACAATTACTCAAAAGCAACTGAACTCCTGGGGCACTGAAACAGTTTCTCCTGGATCTGAAGGGTCAACCCAAAATGCTGTTAAAATCTGTAGGTTTTGTCCTAAACGTTTTAATTCCTCCTTTGCAGCTGCTCTGTGAGGTCACTGCTGTGCATGTATCAGTTCTATTGGTTGCTTTTCTTAATGCAGCATTTTTGGTCTTCCCAGTTCACCCCATGCTCATCCCTTACTACAGTGGGCAGAAATCAGTTTCTGAAACAGTTTTGTTGGACAGGGCAGTTCATATTTTCCAGTTTGTAGTCTGAGGTCTCCCTTGGGACAATTGACTGTAAAGGCCTTTTAACTGCAGAAGACAAGAAAGGGAAGAAAATAAGCTTGCAGCTCTGTGCATCAAAGTCCCTGTGTAAACGTCAACCAGACAAGAAAAGAAAGACTTCTGCTCTCCAGATGGAGTTTGCTGTAGCATTGGTCCAATGTTCAGCTCAGGTGTTAGCAGAAGACTCTGGGGTGACATGAAAGGAAGAAAGGCAGAGAAAAATTTGTCACTTCCTGATAGTCTGCCAAAGTCCAATCCTGGTCTTCATGTCTGTGTGGGGAGTGCTGGGGTAGAAAATGCAATCATAGGGTTTCCCTAAGTTTCTTCTATCTTTGTGACATTTTGCAGAACAGTAATTCAATTGAGTTTGAGGCCTAGTAGAAAGGGAAACAAGTAAGATAAGCTGCTACTTAAATATTTTGTTTTGGTCATCTAGTGAGACCTAGTAGTTTGGTGGTTTTTTTTTATGAATTTCAGTGAACACTGAGGACTGCATTCTTGTTTTCCAGTAACTTCAGCTGTGTGGCATTTGGTGTGATCTGTTCTTTCTGCATTTTTACCCATGGAGAAAAACAGTCATTGACAACGTTAAAAACTTAGTTTGTTGGTTTGGGGCTTTTTTCCCTTTCAGCAAAGTTTCTTTTTTGCTTTGTCATTAAGCAACACAGGGACAATCTATCATGGTCTAGATTTTGCTGCAGAGGTTTTAGAAAGAGTCAGGGAAAGGAATGTGTGGTTTAGGAATTTTGCCCTGGAAAAAGGAATGCCTCAATGACACAGAGTGGGCAGATATTAGAAAGATCCAGCAAGATGATATGCTCACTTAGGGAGATGGTTTGTCAGAGGCACAGGTAAGAACAGCTCCAGTCTACCCAGGCTGCAAACTCCCTGACTCCAGTGCCATTCCTGCCTTTTAGGCATCCTCTTTTCTCTGTTTTGTGCAAGGCTGTTCTGCTGAGGGCACGTGGCCACATATTTCCCTGCAGCAGGCTGCAGATCACACACACAGAGTGTTTGGGAGCTTCACCAGGTGTGTGTTTTGTTTCCAGATCAGCTCTGGAAAGGTTTGACAGCTGGGCCTGTTCCTATATCCTGCCTGGCTGAAATGATTGGATGCTGACCCAAATACTTGCAAGTACACGTTTTCCAGGTGCAGGCTCCAGCTGCCATCTGCCCTCAAGCAGCCATAAGATGGTTCTATAAAAAACTTCAAGTGGTGAACACACGTGGAAGGAGACATTTGGCAATACAGCAGTAGGCAGTGTATCCCAAATCCCAAAAGAACTCCAGTAAAAAGATACACACAAACCAGCAGTGCCTTGCCATTCCCAACAGCTGGTATTGTGTTTGCCATATTTAGGACCACCTAAAAACACCTTCACTGTGTTTTCCTTTAAAGCTGCTCCTGTCTGCCCCAGCAAGAAGGACTTAACACATTTGGAGAAATCAATGGGCTTCTGCTGCAGGAGGTTGTGGCATGGGCTGGCTTTTGCAGGGAGCCCTTGAGAGAGCTTATTTCTTTCATCTAGTGGTATGAGATGTTCAAGAGGAAAATATCTGCTGCAGAAATTGTTCTTGTGCCTTGCCATAGTCCAAAGCTGGAAATGCCATAGAGCAGTTCTCTGTAGCTGCCTGGATTAGAGACGTAACTCGTAAACCATGGCAGATGTTTTT